TCAGAAGTTGAAGAGGCAAGGTCCTGCTTAGACTTGGTCAGAAATTTTCCAGTGGAATATCTTTTCTGTCAGAATGCTGATTCATCAAAAGTAAAACATATATTTTGACGGAATTTCATTTAGGAAAAAAAGTGGAATGGAGCATTCCAATCAGGTCAAAATAGAACAGTTCAACCTCTTCAGAATGGAACATTTTGATTTTCTACTTCGAAATGACTTTTCATTTCAATGTTTTTAATATAATCTGATATAAAAATTTTTAAAAGCCAAAATCAGAACATAATATTTTGACTGCATTGAAATGAAACATTCCAATTGACACAAAGTGAACTCTTCTTCAGAATTTAATTTCATATGTTCTGTTTCTTTCCATTTTGGAATGGAAAAAATGTTAAACTCACTGAATACCCAGCAAAATAGAAAATCTGGTTCCCACCCAGAACTAGTCCTGTGAGCTCTCAGTGATCCCTTCCATGGCTAAAGGAATGACACTGATGGATGACTCTGAAAGGAGCCCCAGCTGGTCCCATTCAGCAGAAGGATGGTGGCTGTTGTGTGGAGCTTAGGCCAGAGGAAGAATGCAGAGTTGGCATAAATGAGATCATCGGGGATCTAAAACTCCAAGGAAGATTCCCTGAAGGATAAACTTCTTTCGGAAAAACTCTAGGCCATTGAATGGAGGCCCCATTCTACCCACCATCCTTTAGACATTAGCAGTATGAGTGACACTAGATACTCTGGAGGGGGCTTCCATCTGTCCCTTAACACGCCCTTTGTTGGAGTGGCATTAACTTTAACACCAACATACAACTTCCCATAGCATAAACAATCTGTACATCCTGACAGAACACCAGCTCCATGCAGCACTCACCTTCAGGCACAAGGCTAGCCACTGGGATCTCACAATGTCAGCTGTTAATGTCTGTTTAATTTCCTGCATAGTACAAAGAATATCCCCCACCTTCAAACCATACCCCCGGCTCAGGGGGAGAGGCTGTACAGAGCGCCCTTTCGTCCTCTGCATCAAGGAACAAGAAATAAATATTTACCCAAAGTGCAGGCCTGGAATCCCCTGAAAAGTCCCAGAGAAATAAATGATGCAAAAAACGCTCACAGAAACTTTCCTTCAATTCTCTTGAGAAAATTAAGCTTAGCCTTTTAGAGTAAATGCAGCTGGGGGTGAGTTTCCAAAGCAGCGACAGGGATCTGACCTCGCAGCTCTCATTGACGTAAACGGGAGCTGTACAGCCAAAGCCCAGTATGCTGCAGGATTGAAAAGGACATAGGTGGTCACTTTTCTGATGCAAATCAATGCTAAAAGTTACAGCCTCAAGCAATGTATGCAGAAACTGACACTTCTTCTAAATAAATTCAGAGAAACATTAGCAGAGAGAGGGCTTCGGTTTTCTGTGGACCCATAGGAAATAAAGGAGACCAACTGCCATCAGCCTTCAGAGGTGTGATAAATTGGGGGTGCCTAAGTAACTGGCTTGAGCAGTGCCCATTGCAGGACTCTCCTGGGCTTTGTAGCCCTTGCCATCTACCCATGTTCCAGACAACCTGCATGAGGCTCTCCTCCCTGCCTGCTGTAATGCTGGCTTCAGGGCTGGGCCCTGATAATGCCACCCAAGTTTTGAATTCACCTGCACTCGCATGCAGTGTATTATGGAGTACTGCAGATTCCAGAAACATACCCTGCACAGTGTGCTGCACAGCAGAGTAGGAGGATTTAGTACTCCAACAGAATTAGGTAGTGCAGCAATCAAATACAGAGCTAGACAAGCCATTTAAGAGAAGGTTTTCAAAAGTGCTTAAGAGATTTAGGAGCACAGGTCTTTCAGTGGGACTTGTGCTCCTACATATCTTCAGCACTTTTGAAAATCTGCCCTATTGCTTCTTTGATACATCATGATAACTTATGAAGGCAGAGTATAGAGAAGAAACATCTAGGAGCTACTGAATTATTAGTGACAGACATAGGGTTACATTCAGATGATAAGGATATGTAAACTGGACCACCTTACACCCTCTTTGGCATCCTTAGATCTACTTACTGATGGATAAGTGTCTTAAGTGTGATTTAGATGCCAAGGAGCCAGAAGGTATAAAAAGCCACTATCATACATTAACTTACACTGTCTTCTGACTCCTTGGTGTGTAAGTTACACTACCTTAGACACTTTTACCTACTGTTAAAATGGGTATATCTAAGGGAGGAAATCTGAGTATCCAACTTACACTTCTTAGACATTACTTCTGAGTTTTACTATATGATGTTTCACAAAACCAATCAGCTGAGTGGTTCACTGTCAGAACAGAATTTTCACCTAGGGATTCAGGAACCTTGTGGGTCCAACTATCGCCAAGGATGTGTCAATAAAATAAGTCCTCTAACCTGATCAAATAAAGGATACACCCTGATCTCAGCCCAAAGGAGGTAATGGCCTATCTGTGACAAGGGTAATATCACCACATTGTCTATTTTCAGTGCCAGTTCAAAAGAAGGCAGGCACCTTTGTGTGCTTAGTCAGAAACTACCTATGATAGCATTAGAATTTTTATTGTAGTCAACCATGAGGTCCTGAGTCAATCTCTTATTGGCATGGCTGTCAAAGTCTCCCACGACCAAAAGCCTCAGTGACTCTCAACACAAAACCAAACTCAACTGGGTAGGAAAATCTGAAGTGCATGAGTGCTATACACAGCCATAAATCCAAATATAATCCAATACCAAGACTCACCTGAGGCTGATGCACACAAATTTGTCATATTTAGCACCTCTGACACTTGCATACCTAGAAAAAAGAAAGAGACAGCTCACAGCCATATCTCCTTCCTGAGCCTCTGCTCATGCAAAGAGAGAACCTGTCGGGAGCATGTTCTGCCAATACAGGACCTGCTGCATCTACCAGCCAGGTGTTGGGTTATGCAAGCAAGATAAGATGCACTGTAATGTAATAATGCCCAACTCTTATGTAGTGCTTTTTATCCCTATATCTCAAAGCACTTTACAAAGGAAGCCAATAACATGTTCCCCATTTTACAGATGGGGAAACTGAGTGATTTTAATCACGCCATCATTTCACCCTAATCACTAGAGCCCTGTGCAAATACAAAATTTGTCTGTGCATCCGATCTGCAAACATGGTCCGTGGATATCTGCGGATAACAGCAGATTTGCATGTCTCTACTAATTACTATGTTGAATTACAAAGATGAATAAATAACTTTTAAAAAGTCAGTGTTTTAGTAAAAAAGAATAGTTAACAAATGGTAGGAACGTGGCCATTTTGAAAGGCTGATGCTACAGAACAGAAGAGAGAATTCAGATCCTACTTGAAAGCACTGGAAATCAAGGGGCTTTCAAAATGGCTGGGTTTTGTTTGTTTGTAACTGGCTAACTGGATACAATCATCTATTAAATTACTAAAAATTGTCAAAAGAAAGAGAGAGCTAGAACTTACAGTATCACAAACACAACTATGAAAATCTCCAATTTCCAACCCTTTCCAATAGGATCCAAGTTTTCCACCCTTACGTCTGGCCCCTGCTGGGAAGCACACTGCTGCATCATTTAAAGTGGCATCCCCATTGTGAGAAAGAGAGAGAGAGAGACCAACACAACTCACTGAATGTAGATACGGGAACAGTGACAAGTGTTTGCAAGAACTGTTTTGAAAATTCTGATTAGATTTAGTAACTGTTTATTTCAGTATCTAAGGTATCATTACAAATCACTAATGTGTAGCCTCTTATCCAATGTGCATTACTATGTTCTTAAATGCTTCTCAGTGTCTTTCCTTTTTTTGTCCAAAGGTTACTATTTCTCTCCTTTTATGGGAGTTCACATGCCTGTCTCCTTTTATATCCCTCCTTCTGTCATCCCCACTCTTTCCTGTGCACATTGGATGTTGAAATCTGCGTCAGAAAAATGCAGGTCCATGGATTTAAACACAGATGTCTGAAAATGCTAATTCAGTAACTCTGATGGGCACTGGAGCAGCCAGCGAAGGAAAAGAAAAATTGTCTTTCCTTGTTAAAATCAATGTATCTAGGTCTGGAGGCTGCTACAGGCCAAGGGGTCCAGCACATGGGAAACACAATTCTAAGTTCAGTAAAGAAAATAGCTGATATACCCCTCCTCATCTACACTTGTTGCTTCAACACCAAACCACATGAACCTCATGGGATTGAATTTTTTATTATTATTTACTATTTATATTACAGTAGTGCCCAGAGGCCCCAATCCCCATTGTACTAGGTGCTGTACAAGTACATACAAAGACATAGTCCCTGTAGTGAAGATATTTAGCTCTTGCTGATCAAGACAGAAAGGTAGAGTATTCTTATCGGAAAAAGGAGGATTCAGTCTCTTTGTTTTACCTAGATATTTACACCACATTTATCCCCCTGGTGTCTGCTGCTGCCATTAGATCTAGAAGCTAAGCCTCCAGGTAGATGAGGCTTAGGCTTGACAGGATTACATATTTTTATATATATATAATTTTGACACATAATTTTTTTGACATTTATTTATAAGCATCTTTTCTATTTTTTTCTATTTCAGTTTTCACAGTTGTGGGAAATTATGCAGAGGTCAGACAATAACTATTTAATGATAGTAAACAGATTCAAAAAGTTAAAACTTTATAACCATTAAAACACAAATTGTCAACATCAAATGCCAAAATATACAAAGCAAACATCTTTAAATCAGACTCTAATAAGTTCTCAAGCAGCATTTTTCATACTTTGCCTATTTGTAAATTTTTATTATTGATGGAAATATTTTTTCATTGGTTTGTGTATGTACAGTGAAATTGACATTTCCGGACATTTCCCAATAAACTCTAATCCTTCCCAGCCTAATTATGCTGGAATCCTGTGGACATCCTATCTATGCAGGAAGATCACATTAGCACTAGGTAGACACTTTAATTTGCTGCTCAGCAGTTCTCTGCAGGCTGATAATTCTGGCTTTTTTTGTTTTGATTTTCCAGGACAAAGTGCTAAGGGGTGGTTGATAAGAAAGGAAGCTGAGCACAATCTTCTCCTCACTCTCAGAGCTTGTATGAAATCAACTTTGGGCACCAGGCCTTCACCTTTCATCATCCAGTATCAACATTCACCACAAACTAGATCTCACTGGTCAGTAGCCATTCACCTCCCTGAAACTGACTGTTCACAATTTTGGCATCACCTCTCAGTACCTGTCTCTGTGCCAAATGACAGAGAAATCTACAACTCAAGTTGCCAGAGGGAAGAGAAGATGAAACACTGTCACTTTTATTTTGTATTTGTTTTTCTTACATTGTGAGTGTGTGGCAAGCCATGACTTATATACTGTATGCACTTTATTTTATTTAATAACCAATTCTATTTAAAACTGAGGTTTGGTTTTCAGCGCCCCCCTTCTGCTTAAGGACTGACATGATACTGCACCCTCCAGGAAAGCATGATAGAAGTGTTTAAGGGTTTATGGGGAGTGCTTATCTTGTAGCTTTGTAGTTAATATGGGCAACTGCCAGATTAGAAGGTAGTAGGGAGGGGGTTCCTGTCTCCTCATGAGAAAGGGTGATGGAAGAGATAGGTTTTATGGGGTGGTGTTAAAGTGTAGTTTTGTAGGTGGCTGAGAAATTGAAGGGTGTTGGGTAAGGTGGATTATACTAGAGCCTCAAAATGGCTGAAGAGTTGGCAAGGATGCAAGAACATACTGTCGTACTGTCATCTGGTAGACAATGGGGCATTGAGGAGGTAGAGTGTTAAGGAGTTACACTGTGGTTCATGGATAATTTTGAAAGGCTCAGAATGACTCATTGGTGCCACTGTGTTATTAAGGAGGTCACCATTTCCTCCTTTTGGATTTAGCAGGCACAAGTGGCAGGCAGCATGTTAACTCTGTGGAGATTAGGCTTTCCTGAGTAAGATACTGGATTGAATGGATATGAGTGCCATTTGAAGGGATTCTGGCAAAGTGCCAGGTCTGCTTCTTAAGACCCAGTAGCAACTGGTACCTACTTGGTCAAGTGAGCTAATGGCACCTAAAATCACATGCACCAGGCAGGGTTAGGAGGGGCATTCAAACATGGTAATCCTCCTTGTCTACCTAACCCACCAAGAATTTGCTAGCACATGTGAGGACATTTGTGTAAAGACTTCTGGGCTAGTTAGGGTTGAACATCCAGGTTTCCTCTGAGATCCTTTCACTTTCCGAACAACGCCCTCTGTTCTCTTAACCTTCCAAAGCCTTCTGCTTGCATAAGAAGATACAGTAGTGACTTTCCAGGAATCTGCCACATTAGGTTCTTTTGTTTTAGCCTTAAGACAAGACACCTTTCATAAGAAGTTTACCAATCCTCTACTAGGGTAAATCAGAATAGCTTCATTGATTTCAACAGAAACATTCTAATTTACATTAAGGGCCTGGCTCAAAAATGTCATCCAATTAAAGAAAAGATGGGAAGTGGGCTTGAGAGATTACATTACATACTTTCAGGCTGATGACTTACAGAGAAGGGGGACTGTCCTCATTTTCAAACCTGGCCCTGAGATGTGAAGCAGTTTCATCCTTTCCATTGAAGGGAGATGTGGATGTGTGCATGGAGATTTATTTGGTTTCCCCGCAAGAAGTGTTGCTAACCCAAATGACAGACTGCTTTACTGATGAGATTGGCATGAGTGCACTGGAATGCTGTTTTAATAAACTAATATTTTCACAGAGAGATGTTCTGGTTTTCCCCGAAATTCAGAGCCAATGCATTCAGCTGGCTTTCACTCAAGAAGACAGAGTTAGGCAATCTCTTCTGTGTGCCAAATTTGTGATAGTTCACTGACCCATCCTGAGGCTGTTAGCAAGAGAAGGAGCAGAAGATCGCATGCTATAATCATGTTTTATTAGAAACAATTTTCCTGCAGTTTAGAGCTAAAGTTACAGATAAAGTGGGTTATAAAACTGCTTCAATTCCTGGAAGTTCTTCTAGCTCATTAAAGGGTGAATTTCCACATCCCATGAGATACTGGGTTGGAGGAGCAGCTGGATCAGGGGACCAGTAATTGGTTATAAACTCATTTATATCTAGCACCCTGACCTCACTTTGAACCAGATTGGAATTTTAAAATAATTAGCAGTATATAGCTTGGTAGCCTATGTAAAAAGGAGATGGTAATCTCAGTCCAATTCCCAGAAGGTTCACAACCAAAATATTCCCTTCTTCCTGGAGCTTGTTTCTCCAAGTCAGAATTAAGGCACCATGGGTGGGGTAGTATGCAAAAGTTTCACTGCTTCCTGACCCCACTTCTACAGCTAAAGAGAGGAGTTCACTTTCAATTGTGGTACACTTAGCATCTTGTGCTAGGCTAAATTCAGCATCAGGAAAAACTGCTGTTTAATTCACCCTCTTCCTCTCTTTCCCCCAAGCTCACATAATTTAGCATGTAATAAGTAGTGCATAGGGAAGAACATGATAATGGGCTTCATGGAACGTACTGTCCGATGGTCCATGCTATTAACATTAAGTTTCCTTAATTAAGTACAGGATGTTCATTCTGTCTAAAACCAGTTTGTTCCAATTGTTGGAGAATCATGACTACTATTTATTTCTTCTGTACAAGGGTTATATATATATAGGGGAAGGTGGAGGTGATTGAAAAATTGAAGTGTAAGGATTATTTTTGTTAAATAAAAGTTGTAAGGAGGAAAAGACAAAGTTCCAATTTGTTACCATTTCTCTCTCTTGAGGATGGCTGGAAAGGTCTTTGAAAGGGACTCGTAACCTTTGGCTTCTCTACCAAGAGCAGCAGCGGAGTTGGATAGGAATTTTATTTCTTGCCCTCCCCATTAGTCTTCCCAAGTCCATCCTACTCTTGGTAGGAATGTTAACACCAGCTCATTTAACAGACTCATCAACCTCACTGTGAATCACTATTAAGAATTTGGCCCATGTCCACAAGTTCTATCCTGTACCTGGCCTTGCAAGTCAAGACTATTTAAAAACAAAAAACTTACATATTATTTTAAGGAAATATATGAGCCACCACACTCCTCTGTGCTCTGACTTGGCTAACCGAGCTCATGGGAAGTTTGCAGGGATTACATAGTCTAATACCTACTTAGTAAACCGAGGTTGGATCTCTTCATGCTGATGACAAAGGCCATTCATTTCTGCTTGCAAGAATAGTAACACAAATATTATAGAAGCCAGTGAAGGGCAGTCAGTCACTCTAAGTCAGTGGTTCCCAAACTGGGGTTTGCAAACCCCTGGGAGTTCGCAGAATGTTACAGGGGGTTCACCAGAAAAATTTCACTAATGGCAGCCACGGGACCCTGGGCATTGGAGGCAGCAGGTGGGACCCGGTTGCAAGGCAGACAGCCCGAGCCCCAGGGAGAGCGGGGCAGGGCAGGTGCGGCTGGCAGCCCGAGCCCTGCCCCCGTGAGCGGGGGAGCCAGCCACCTGAATCCCAGCGCTCCGCGCAGGGCTAGCAGCTCAAGCCCCAGGGAGAGCGGGGCTGGGCAGTTGGGGCTGGCAGCCCGAGCCCTGGCAGTCAGCAGGACCTGCAGCCGGAGCTCAGTTGACCAGGGCAGTCAACGGAGTCCAGCAGCAGGAGCCCTACAGAGTGCGGAGGAAATTTAAACTTAAATCCCTAGAAATATTCATTTTTAGGAGGTGGTTCATGAGATTTGATAATTTAGTGAAAGGGGTTCAGGGTCTGTTAAAGTTTGGGAACCACTGTTCTAAGTCATCTGCTTACAGAGGTATTTGTTTTCTCTCAACACTGGCTGACAGCCCTGTGATTCTTTCACAGTGTACTTTGGGACTTCCAGTTAGAGGGAAAACAGCAGGGACCCTTTCAGATGGAGTACAGTCTTGCTACCAAGAGAACAGCTTGTTTATGGATAGTTACTTCCACAGTTTGAAAGATTCAGCACCAGCCTGGTGAGCTAAGCACTGCAGTTAAAACCAGTACTGAAAACGATCTCTCAGGCTTTGACGTACTGAAGTCTTGCCTCTGAGATCTGCTGACAAAGAAAACTAGGGGTGGCAATGGTGAAACAGCCCACAGAGAAAGACACCCCCCTACACAGCTCACCTGGAATGGTCAGGCGGTCATTCTATAAACCCCTGTGGGTCTGTTAGTTCAGGGGAAGCAAATGAGAATGCTAGACAGCAGCTCAAGCTCAGTAGCCCCAGCTATGACTACGTTAATACCCAATTTCAGAGGGATACTGCACAGATTAGTGAGAACAATGCCCCAGACACATGCTGAGTATTATTTAAAAGGAGAAGTTATTTCATAGTAAAAAGGAGCATTACTGATTTTCCACACCAGTTCTCTGCCCTGGACAAGTTGGCTGCAAGTGGTTTATGAGCCTGAACCTAAAATGCCTTTCAGTGAAAAACTTTTATATTTAAAGTACAAAATGTAAGCACTAACAGCGTTTTATTTAGTTATACAGTAGGGGACCTACGTACAGCTAATCGCAGGCACGGAGCTAGTGTTGAGTATGGAAATACTGTACTGTTTAAAAAAACTGCCAATAGTCTTCTTTAACAGACTCTGCACAACGATGGTTTAAACAATTCACCTATGGAGATAACTCCCCTCACGCAGTTGCTGCATACAAACCCATCATCGACTTCAAAGAGGGATTTCTACAGCTGTTACACCAGGTTACTGTAACAAGCAGGTGAGGTTAGATTCACAAGAGCATTCAGGTGCCTGACACTTTTGGCACCTAAATCCCAGAATCAGGCCCTACTGGGATTCACAACCCTGACCTCCACTCTGCTGCCCCCAACTGCAGTATGTGCCTAACTCACCTGCAGGACCCAATCCACTAAGCGTGTCCAAACTTTACCCACTAAATCTGGCCCCTGTAAGTGAGGCACAGCAATCACCACAGCTCGTTACTTTTAGCCCACTGCTTAGGCTACCCCCCAGCGATGTGGGAGACACCCCATTTGAGTGTCCCCGCTCCACCTGAGGGGAAGAACGGATTTGAACTAGGGTCTGCCACCTCTCAGGTGAGTGCTCTAGCCACCAGGTTATGGGATATTCTGATGTGGAACTCCCTCCACCTCTGCAGTGAAGGCTTGTATTTGCCTGTGAATTTCACCTAGTGACCATATTGATTATTTTAGTTTTGCCAGCTGCTTTTCATACAGCTGACCAGGCTGTAGGCTATGTCAGGCATTGACAGAGTTGTGTCCTGGTGGCTCCATTTCTTTCCCTGGAAGAGAACCATGAGAGTAGTAATAAGTGACTGCTCTTTCAGAATTTTCTCAACAGAAAAGGATCAAGGCTCTAGTCCACAAAACACAATACATTCAGAATTAGGGGCTAAAGCAACATGGCCTGATGTTGTCCCTGAAAAGAAAAAAAAAGTGTTAATATGGTCTAGAAGAGCAATTTAGAGGCAACTTGATATTTGTTTATTCTCCCTAGCAGTCACCATATCAAATTTACTGTTTATAAATACATCTTTCAGCACCAAGCTAGACTTGATATAATAAAAAAAATCTGTTCTCTGTTCCATACAACAATAAAACATTCTTTGATCAGAACAAAGTTGACAGGTTCTTAAAACAAGAGGAGGACTAAAATAAAGCTTTAATCCCTATAGCTGTATTAGTATTGCAGGACCGTCAGTAACCAACAGCATCAGCAAAGTCAGATGGCTATGCTGTAGCTGTGGTAGTGCACAGAATGGACTTTCATCTTGAATGGTTCCTTGCAAGTCTTCTTCCTGCAGCAAGTGTCAAGATGGATGGATTTAGGCTTTTTAAATGCCTCAAAATTGCATCTTTCAACCTCATTCATAGCTGACCTCATGCTCTATTTTCTTCAACCTCAGCTCTGTCTACCTTCTGACTAAGCATACCTTCTTCTGCACACTGGACATGACACCATCACTGCAGTCATCTTGTTCTCAACTGGGGGAAGACTGAGACTCTGTGGGATTATCTAAGCATCTCCTAATTTGAGATCAAAAAATCAAGCCAACGTATGATAAGAACACTTTGGACACAGAAAACTGTTTAGTTTCCTCCCCTGAGCTGTTTTTCACACTACCATGTTGAATGTGTCAGTAACCAACACTCAGTAAATTAAAAGTCACAACAGGATTTGTCAGGAGATAACAGCAGTCCCATTCTTATAACCACCACATTTTTTAAAAGGAACACTGCAAGGTAAAAGGCTATTTGGAAGATTATAGTGTTAGCTACACCACATTTGATTATTAAACAAAGCATTTTAAGATTTAACTTAGCAGAATGGCTGAAATGTTTAGTCTCTGAAATTCAGTTTGGGCAATGAAGATAAGACTACTTACTTCCACTCTTGAGTTCACATTCATTAGAATTTAAACAGAAAGCTGGCCTTAACCTTTACTAGAATACCACTTCAGTGTTTGGGCTGGGAATAGTGCACAGAAATGGCTGTCTAAAGAAACTGATTCCACTGGAATTTCTAAAAAAAATTTTCAAGGAACAAGTTCTCAGGAATTTAGGATTTGTAATATTTTCCCCCTCAGATGTAAACAAGTCTGAGGCTGAATCTGACCTGCTAGTGTTCTTTTAACCAGCATGGTTCTTTTCTAATTTGCGCAACTAATTTTTTTTTCCCCTTTATAGTGGCATGGGAAAGGTTGAAATGCATTATAACGGGCCAGAGTCAGTGCTGTGCAGATCATTTCACAATGTAGCATGGATTTAAAAAAAAAAAAATCTGTCAACTTGAACAAGCTAGTGCATATGCTATGTAGTTAAGGAATTAAAATAGGAGATTCTAGACACAGATGACTCAGCTTCAGCCCAAAGACAGCACAGCACGGCTGTAAATCCAGAGCTTCATGACCCAATATATTAGCAATCCAGCTATTACACCTTGTGCAGTAAGCCCATTTCCTAAGAAATCCATAAAATTCTGGATGAAAATGTTAGCTTGCACATGGAAACCAATTCTGACTAGTCATTTCAGTAATTAAGTATTCTTAAGGGTACCTAGTCAGAAAAATGTCTTATTTCTTAACTCTCAAGAGACCAAAAGCAGTAAGAGGACAAACAGACTTATGAACTTCCTCATTCCTGCATTGCATTCCCAGATGAAGAAACCATTGCATCCTGGGTACCACCTGATAACTTCTAAATCTGGTATCCGGATTCCTTCCTCCTGTCTGAAGGTTTTTCAAACATCTATAAAGCTTTTTAAAAAGGCAAATGAATGTATTAAAGCTACTAAAATTGCTCTGACAATCATGACCAGCGTCTTGGAAATCATCTATGACAAGGCTGAAACTGAGAAGCTGCTTTGGAAACTTTAAATTGCACATTTTCTCTTTGTACATTTGGTAGCATAGCAGTAAAGTTAATGGAATGCTCTAATAACCATTTGTAACAGCTTCAGAGATAAATGTCTCTGCTTTGCCTCAGTCTTATTCCACCAGCAAGCAGGACATCACTGGAACAAACTCTTTGTACAAGAACAAATTTCATTCACGCTTCATGCAAGGACGCTGAAGATGGTTTTGTCCTATTTAGTACAATAGCAATTCAACCATATTCAGTACCAGTTCAGGGGAGCTGAATTGTCAGCAATGGGTCGATTTCATAGAGCAAATTACTACTGTACTATACTCTAGACACTTTCCTGTAAATGCCTCTGAACAGATGAAGAGCTTTAAGTTGTCACTGAGTACAGGGCATCTCTCCACAGTAACAGGACAAGTTGGAAAGTGGCCACAAAGGAGGGGAAATGAATTGAATTAAATGAGCTGTCTGCTTTACTGAACAACACTTTATTAATCTTCAGAGAGCAATGGTTTTTAAAGAGGAAAATACTAAGTGTATGTATCTCCAAAATATATTCCTTGTTTCACTTGAGACTGCCCCCGCAATTTCTGATCAGAGCAGCAGCCAGACACTTCCTATTAGTGAAGTTCTGATCTATGTAGATTTCCATCTAGTCCTTTATGCTGGAAATGGCCCACCTTGATTATCATACACATTGTAAGGAGAGTGGTCAGTTTGGATGAGCTATTACCAGCAGGAGAGTGGGGTGGGGGGAGGTATTGTTTCATGGTCTCTGTGTATATAATGTCTTCTGCAGTTTCCACAGTATGCATCCAATGAAGCGAGCTGTAGCTCACGAAAGCTTATGCTCAAATAAATTGGTTAGTCTCTAAGGTGCCACAAGTACTCCTTTTCTTTTTGCATCTAGTCCTTGTTTTTTGTCTCTGAAGGGTTATTTTGTTTTTTGGGGGAGGGGGTTGGTTTTTAATTAAAAAGCAAATTCCCTTACACCAACCTTGCCCTATTGGCCTGCTTTTAGTGCCAAATCCCAGGAACAGTCTAAACTCTACTGGCACCATGGAATGAGTGTTTTTTCTCTTCCACACCCATCTCCCTTAGATTACTGAAGGCAAATCCCAGATCAAACCAGCACACAGGCAGCATTTCAAATAATCATCCTTCTCCAACCCCATGCAGAGCTGTAATCTCTAACAGAGGCCCCTGGTTAATGAAAACTATAACATGGAAGAATTACAAGCATCTCCCTCCCCAGGATTTGGAGCTTACATCTCTGGGTTTGCCTGCAGGAAATGGAGAACACAAACTTCATGTCCAGATATGGGTCAAGTGGTTCAGCAAATGAAAACAGCCAAACTGTAGAACCAATGCAATCTGAACTAGAAGCCACACCTCAGAACTGTTTGTCTTGGCTACAAGTGAAAGTGCTGCTGCCAGACCCTCTGCTACCCCATCTCCCCATCCCCACAGCCCATATAAAAAACTAGAAATAATTGTTCTTTGCTTGTTTAATGACCTATTCACAGGGTCAGGCATATTGTGATAGCATTGCTCTGCAGATAATTACAGAGTTCTATTTTTAGATGCTTACCAACATAGGCAAGTTTGACCTCTGTGCCTGGTCTCCTCCCCACCAAAAACTACTATACTCTCCCTCTTCTGTCAAGTACCATTCAAGCCACAAGCATTCCGACCTCCTCCCAGTCCACAGAGGTAAGTTAAACACAATGTCCTTTCCCACCCATATTCACCAAGCCCACATGGACCACAAAGAAAGTCAAAGTCCCTTTCCTCTATGCCTCATCTTCACTCGTGTTCCCAAAAAGTTTGGCAAGATTAAAAGTCAGTCTAAAGCATACAAGTTAGGCAGAAATCTCACTGTATTTTTGTTCCCCTTCCCCTCCCCCCCCCCAAATATACAGGTCTTTTGAATACAGATATAGCTTACATGGTGGAATTAGCCTAACATTTAAATGGTTTTGCCAAGTTCTTTTGTTTGCAAGGTGACAGTTCAGAACACTACAAAACGTCATACACTTGCTCGTATGTGTTTCGAAGGCTCATAAGCAATCAGATTTAAATTTGCAACTTGTTAATAATAGACTAGTAATCATTAAGATCAAGTTCTTTTTGCTAATTTGCTAAACCTGGCATTTTATAGTTTCTCAAAATGGCCCCACGGAGTTACCGATATGCCAAGAGAGGTCCAAAGTCTACTCAACATGCCTTGTCCATCACAGGTTACTTGTCAGATTATATCAATCAACTTTGAAAGTTTTGCTGTTTGACACTACCTTGGCCATGAGATGAGGCTAAACCGCAATTACTGGCCTATAAACTTGGTTAGTTTCAAGTTGGCAAGAGAACAGGCCCTGGGGCTTCTACTGACACAGCATTTCAGCTGCCTTATGTAGCAAGCTCTCAAATGGAAACTCATCACTCATAACTGCATACAGGGAGTTAAGAACCCAAAACAGTGGAGATTTCACTATCCCCACCCAGCAAAGCAGCACATATGTAGTTTTCACTTATGTTCCCCCCAAAAAAACCAAAATGCCATATTGGAGAGAGACTTTCATATGCAAAAAATATTTTAATATAGTAAACAAGTCAATTTACCTTTCACATGTTTTAAATAAGTTTGTTCATTAGTAAACAATGCTATTTTCCCAAAACAATGGAACACAGCCTCTAAATTCATATTCTGCTCCCAGTTGATCCTATAAGTGGTGAAAAATTTGGACACCAGTATCATTTCACAGATAACAGAGTGGCATACACAGAAGAACAGAGCATCAACAGAGAGTCAAAGAGAAAAGCTTACCCTGGTGATGGGGAAAATTAAGCCACAGAATTCTCTTGAAGGAAAGACTAAAGATACTAGCTAAGATTCTATTGGTGTAAGTGTTATCTTTCCATGCCTACCACTCATGTTTGCCTCTATGGTTAAAGTTCCCTAAGCCATGCCTAATTAAGGGAAAAGGTGCTATGAAAAAAATCAAGCTAGGAAACTTTAATTGAAGCCCCTATTTAACACAAATGCAGACACTGCTGACTAATTCAATGTTTTTACCAGATCAAAAGTAGATTTCTACATATTCACTTCTGACTACATTTATATTAAATAGGGTTTTCAACGGAAATATCCTAGCTGGAATGAAAAGCAGCACCTTGTCCCCTAATCTAAACCAGGCCCTACTGAAGCATACAAGGAGGCCCAAAACCATAGATCTGGAGGTGCTAATAAGAAGAAGACAGTCCTCTGGAATCACTCTTGATGAGCATAGCAAATAAAAAAATATGCTGCATTCTTTCCCTCCCCCAGTCTAGAAATCCAACATAACATGGAATTGTCTTTACTAAAAAAACTTAGTAAAGGGTGGGGGGGTCACATGCACGCTTCTGACGGGGTCTGTATGGCTTTAGGCATCTTTTAGCCGCCAGGATCATTGCAACTTTCTTGCTTGGTTTCCTGCTATAGCCCTTTAAAACCAGTCAGGGTGTGCTCTTTGTGTAGTTTACATAGCATATATCTCACCTCTATACAGCCATCGTCTGAGTGTATATATATCTACAAATACATACACAGATAAACGAAATGCATCTGGGTACATTTCAGCTAGGCTGACATACCTGAGCTCCACTCTCTGTGGCTTCCCAGTACCGTTTACACCGTATTAAAAACTAATAATTACAATTCGCCCTGCCCCAGTCCTGCGCAAATCGATGGACAGGCAAAGAGGCCAGACAGAGCATCTGGCAGCGTGTGCGCGCCACTGTCCCCAAGGGGCAGACCCCGGAGCGAGGGGTGCTGGTCCCGTGGCCCCCAGGCGGAGGCGAAGCGAGTCAGGGTCGGTGGAGGCCGGTCGCTGGTAGAGGGAGCCGCTGTGCCCCTACCCGGGTCGGGTCTCTGGGCTGCGCCCTGTCCGGGCTCGGCCCCCGCTTCCCCGCGATCAGTGGCTCCGGTGCACTCGCTGCAGCACGGTGGGGTCGGGGGCTGGGCCGGGCTCGGCCCGCGGCGGTGGCGAAGTGGCAGCGCGCTCAGTCCCGCCCGCCCCTTGGCCGGAACCCGGCCGCGCAGGCGGCTCCGTGGGGCCGGCTCCCCGGTGCGGCTCCGTGGGGGGCCCTGGCGTCGTCCGGCCGGCGGCTGCGGCGCTGGGCCCCGTCGGCGGGCGCGGCTGGCGCACCGGCTGCCAGATGAGGCTGTAGTAGACGGCGAGCACGATGGCGGCCAGCGAGACGGAGAGCACGTAGGCCAGCACCGTGGCCAGGCGCACCCACTTCTTGTTGGTCTTGGCCGCCATCCGCGCCTTCTTGTCCCCGGTGTAGGTGGCGGGCTTGCCCCGCTCCGCCGGCGGCTCCTTCTCCTTCATGGGGGCCCGGCCCTTGGCCCGCTGCTCCACCGCCCCCTCCGTGGTGGGGGCTCCGCGCCGAGCCGGCCCCGCTCAGGACATGCCGGGGGCCCCGGCGCGGGAGAGGGGCTGCCGGCCCCGCGGCTGCTGTTGCTGGTGCCGCCGCCGCCGCCCGCCGGGATGCGGGGCCCGTCTCCGCCGAGAGCCCCGCGCTTTGCGCTGCCCGCGGGGCCCGCGCGCTCCGTGTCTCCTGGCAGCGGTGCCGGTGGCCGCTTCGCAGCGCGGAACACGCGCGGGAAGGGGAGGAGAGGCGACGGGCGGCTCTTAAAGGGGCAACAGGGAGGAGCGGAGTATCCTTAAAAGGGCAATGCCCGCCCGCTCGGGTAGCCACCTGCCAGCGTCGGGCAGGGCAGACCGCTGTCTCGGCCCCGCCCGCCCCGTCCCGAATTCCACCAATGGGCACTGATATATCAACAGCTCCACGTGCCACGCTGCTCCGGGCCTCGCACAGACCCGCCGCGTGGCGCGACCCTGCCCACGTGGCTGGCTGGCTGCTGCTGGTCCCTATCCCGCCCTGCGCAGTAGCCCTGCAGCGCTGCCCTGCGGCTGTGAGCGCTGGCTGGGGATGGCGCCTGTTCGGAATTATGTCAGCTGGCAGGACAAGCGCGGCTGTGCAGGCGAGAGGCGCCGTGTTCAGCTCCCTGTCAGCTAAGCCGTGCTGGTACACAGTGTCCTCACGCTCATATTTATAACACGTGTCATCACCCAACCTACCATGTCTTGCCCACTGCAGTGTAGGGGTCATGCAACACCACAGAGATATAGAACCAGATGGGAGACGGGGGGGAAGAAGCAGGCCACAGCTGTCCAGCACCGGAGAAGGGAGGTAGAGGTGAGACATACCTACCATATGGGTTTCTTTATCAGGGGATGGCTGACTTTATCTTGCCTCAATGGCAGTGGGTGCGTGGGCCAAATTGCAATCCCAGCAAATGCTAGAGG